TTATTACATTCTTGGCTACTTTACACTAGTAGTTAGTTCTTTCACTAGTGGAGGGGGCATCATTGAATAAGTGTGGGTACTTTTGCTTCATTTGGTCCTCGCGTTCCCAGGTAAACTCTGGCCCTCTACGAGAGTTCCATCGGACTTTTACTATAGGTATGCGGTTTTGTTTAAGTCTTTTAATTTCCCGATCCATAATCTCCATTGGTTCCTCCATGAAGTGAAGCTTTGTGTTGACCTGAATTTCATCGAGTGGTACGATCAAATTTTCATCGGCTAGGCACTTTTTGAGATTAGACACGTGGAAGGTATCGTGAACCTTGTTAAGCTCTTGAGGTAGGTTGAGCTTATAAGCTACCAGACCAACTCTTGCTAGGATCTCAAAGGGTCCGATGTAACGTGGGTTTAGCTTTCCTCTTTTTCCGAATCTAATGACACCCTTCCATGGGGCAACTTTTAGTAGGACTCGGTCTCCTACTTTGAATTCCAATGGTTTGCGTCTGTTGTCAGCATAACTCTTCTGCCGACTACGTGCGGCTTTTAGCCGTTCTTTTATCTGAACAATCTTTTCTGTTGTCTCCTGAATGATTTCAGGTCCAGTGAATAGTGTATCTCTAATATGTTTTCCTGCTAGTTGGGTATCTCCAACTCTGCCCAACATAATGGTGAACGACATTTGCGCCCATACAAGGCCTCGAATGGAGCGGCCTTTATACTACTGTGATAGCTGTTGTTGTAAGAGAACTCAACTAATGGCAAGTGAGTATCCCATGCGTTACCAAAGTCTATCACACAAGCGCGGAGCATATCTTCCAGAGTTTGTATTGTCCTTTCGCTCTGGCCATCCGTTTGGGGATGATATGCTGTACTCATGTCGAGTTTTGTGCCTAGGGATCTTTGCAGTGATTGCCAAAATCTGGAAGTGAATCTACTATCTCGGTCCGAGATGATAGATATTGGCACACCGTGTAGTTTGACTATCTCCTTGAGATAAGTTCTGGTGAGTTTTTCCATCTTATCAGTTTCCTTGATGGCTAAGAAGTGAGCGGACTTGGTCAAACGGTCAACCACTACCCATATGGTATCGTAACCGCTTGATGTCTTGGGCAACTTTGTTATAAAGTCCATTGTTATTTGTTCCCACTTCCATTCTGGAATTGATGGTTGTTGTAGCAGGCCAGACGGCTTCTGGTACTCCGCCTTGACCTTGGAGCAGGTCAAACACTTACCAACATAAGTGGCAATTTCTGCCTTCATATTGGGCCACCAATAATGCTTCTTGAGATCGAGATACATCTTGTCTGATCCGGGATGTATTGAGTATCTTGACTTGTGAGCTTCATTTAAAACCAAATCTCTGACTTCTCCAAATCTTGGAGTCCAAATTCGGTTCATGAAGTATCGCGTTCCATCATCTCTGAGGTCGAACTGTTTGTCCATGCCTCGTAGGTTTTCTTCCATGATGTTTTCAGGTTTAAGTGCTTCTAGCTGAGCATCACGAATTTGAATAGTAAGGTTCGAGTGGATGGTTAGGGTTAGAGCCTTTACACGAAGAGGTTTTGCTCGTTCCTTCCTGCTTAAGGCATCTGCCACAACGTTTGCTTTACCGGGATGATAACGAATCTCGCATTCATAATCATTTAGTAATTCGACCCATCTCCGTTGTCTCATATTGAGCTCTTTTTGATCAAAAATGTGTTGGAGGCTCTTGTGGTCTGTGAATACAATGCACTTTGTCCCGTATAGATAGTGTCTCCAAATCTTCAGAGCAAATATTACGGCTCCCAACTCTAAGTCATGGGTAGTGTAGTTTGTCTCATTTGGCTTTAGTTGTCGGGATGCATATGCAATAACCTTATTCCTCTGCATTAGTACACACCCTAACCCTTGACGTGAGGCATCACAGTATACTACAAAGTCTTCTGTTCCCTCGGGAAGAGACAAAATTGGTGCACTGCATAACAATTGCTTCAATTTTCGGAAGGCAGACTCTTGACTGTCTCCCCAGTTGAACTTTTTGTCTTTCTGGGTTAGTGCGGTGAGAGGCTTGGCTATTTTGGAGAAGTTCTCAATAAATCTCCGATAATAGCCTGCAAGCCCTAAGAACTGACGTACTTCGGTTGGTGTTGTTGGTGCTTTCCAATTCTTGACAGCTTCAATCTTCACCGGATCGACATGAATCCCTTTATTGCTGACCACATGACCGAGGAAATGAACTTCGTTAATCCAGAACTCACACTTAGAAAACTTTGCATAAAGTTTTTCTTTTCTTAGTAGTTCTAGGATTAAACGCAAGTGCTGGCCATGTTCTTCCTTGGTTCGTGAGTATATTAATATGTCATCGATAAAGACAATCACAAATTTGTCCAAGTAGGGTTTACACACCCGATTCATAAGGTCCATGAATACGGCAGGTGCGTTGGTCAGTCCAAATGGCATCACTAGAAACTCATAGTGACCGTATCTAGTTCGGAATGCCGTCTTTGGAATATCCGCTTCTTGAACTCTAAGTTGATGATAGCCGGATCGTAGGTCGATCTTTGAGTAGTAGCAGGATCCTTGTAATTGGTCGAACAGGTCATCGATCCTCGGGAGTGGATACCGGTTTTTGATAGTGAGCTTATTCAACTCTCGATAATCGATGCACATCCTAAAAGAACCATCCTTCTTTTTGACAAACAATACCGGGGCTCCCCATGGAGAGAAGCTTGGCCGAATAAAGCCTTTGTCGAGAAGTTCTTGAAGTTGACTGGATAGTTCTTGCATTTCCGATGGAGCCAGGCGATAAGGAGACCGTGCCACTGGTGCTGCACCCGGGATAAGGTCGATTCGAAATTCAACCTGTCTGATAGGAGGTACTCCAGGTAGGTCTTCTGGAAATACGTCTGGGTAGTCACACACTTGTGGTATGTCTTTGATTTCCTTACCCTTGCCTTGCGTATCCACCACGTGGGCCAAGAAAGCGTAGCATCTCTTCTGCAAATACTTCCTTGCCTTCATGCAAGTAATGACTCGTAGGTTCTTCCCCGCCTTGTCTCCATAAATCACAAGGACTTCATCGTTTGGTAAGGGTAATCGTACAGCTTTTTCGTAACATAAAATCTCCGCTCGATGGGCTGATAACCAATCCATTCCGATGATTACATCGAAACTTCCAATGGTTATGGGCATTAAGTCGACAGGGAACACGTGATTATTCAGGGTGAGAAGGCAGTTGGTGAGTATTTCTAAGGTGCTTTCTATTTGACCATTGGCTACTTCTACCGTGTAAGCATTATTGAGTTTGCATGATTCATGATTAATCATTTTTCTAAATTTGTGGGAAATAAAACTCTTATCAGCACCAGTGTCAAATAATACAGAGGCATAAATATTGTTGATAGGAAACGTACCAGTAACCACAGTTGGTTCCTGGCGTGCGTCTCCCGCACCTATCACAAATGCCCTTCCTTGACCACCCTGTCTCTTCAGCTTAGGACAATCTTTCCTGAAATGTCCATGTTGGTTGCACTCGAAGCAGGTTCGACTTTCTCTTGCGGTAGTAGTTGAGACTGTGTTGCTTGGGTTCTTTTTGCAAAATTTGGTGGTATGACCGCTTAATTTGCAGTTGCTACATATCCTGCAGTCTCCAACATGATGATAATTGCACTTAGGGCAGCGAGGTAGAGTTCCAGCGTAGGGTTTTACTGGAGTGGGAGTGGTTGTGACTGCAGCATACACCGTTACAGGCTCTGGGTTTCGCTTACGGTGTTTGAAGTTCCCTTTTGGCTTTCCCTGGAAGTTTCTCTTAGATTTCCCAGTTTGGTTCTTTTCTTTTGCAGGGGCCATGGTGCCTTGTCGGATACATTGTTCAGTCAACTCATAGGCCAGCTGCTTGGCACTATCAAAAGTTGAGGGTCTGGATGCAGTAACCAGACCTTGGACTGGCGATGCTAATCCCCAAATGTATCTCTCCATCTTCTTGTCTTCTGAAGGTACCATTCCGGGACAAAGAGTTGCAAGGTCTTCGAATCGGGAGGTATAAGCAGCTACCTCTGATCCTTGCATGGTTAGGTTCCAGAGTTCTTGTTCTAATGCCTGAATCTCCTGCGTGGGCAATACACTTTAGTCATCATTAGTTTCAGCTGTTCCCATCCCATGGCATAGGCTTCCGCAATTCCCACGGTCTTGGCATGGTTGTTCCACCAAGTTAAGGCAGCATCCATCAGTGTGCAGGTAGCGTACTTAACCCTGCAGTCATCCGGGCAAGAGCTGATGTGGAAGACAGCTTCAATCTTCTCTATCCATCGGGATAGGCCAACAGCTCCTTCAGTTCCGTAGAAGGATCGGGGTTTACAACCCATGAATTCTTTGTATGAGCAGTGTTTGGGATTTCTTTGGGCAACTACAGGAGTACCACTTCCGCTATTTCCAGTATTCCCGTTTCGAGCTGCCTCATAAGTCGCCAAGGCCGTAGCAATCCCTTGTGCAAGCATGTTCTGCATCATGGTGGGATCCATCTGGAAATTCTGGTGGTTATTTGTAGCACTTGGGGCTTCTTCAGGGTCTGGAGTTTCTTCTGTTGTTTGAGTTATCTCTGGAGCACTTCTCCTGATAGTTCGGGGAGTCGGTGGTGGACGAACTCGTGGTTCTTTTCGTCGAGGCATTATCCTAATACGTTAGATAAGTAGATTAATTTTTTTTTAAACCATATAGTTATAATGTGTGTGTATTTTGTATTTGTTCAATTTGTTTTTCTTGCGAAACCAGAAAATGAAAGCTTTTCCTGATATATAGAGTTTTGCAAGCAATACATAATAAATACAAACATTTAATAAAACACTGAAACATTGTCATCAGAACTGCTTCTTTTGGTTACAAAGTTTTAACCATATAAGGTTAGAAATAGAAAAGCTTTTCAAAAGAGCTATTACAAACCAGGCAGTGATAAACACTTGCAATACAAAAGCTATTCCTCAAAAGTCCTAACCTTATCCTAGGACACAAGCTGTCCTAGATATCTACCTCCCAAATCGAGTCATCACATAGAGGACAAAGTCCTCGAACTGGTCCAAGATGTATCGTCGTTCCTGCGCAGAGATAACCAACTGATTTCGCTGCGCAGCAAGCTCGCTCTCCATGATCTGAATCCGGTAGTTCTGTGCTCTAACCTGAGCACTCAAGGCATTCACTGCGTCGTGATCAGCACCCGAGAGATGATATAATATCTGGATCGCATCAGAATTCTCCTTCTCCTCTTCCTCGAGTGTCTCAACTCGATGGTCGAGGGAAGTAGAGCCTGGACCTCTCACAAACTGCTCCAAGGATCTAATCCTATCCTCGTCTAATCAATCTGAGTCATCAAGCGAGGTATCGGATCATCCTCAGGATTAAACCTGAGTGGTGCTCGTGAAGATTCACCAACCTCAAACCGTGGTGGTAGATCAGTAGCATCCCTCCTGCTAAGGAGGTCTGTGAGCCAAGATGGCTCACTGGGTCGATTACGTTTCCCCTAATAGACCACTAGTGGGTCGGGAAACCTGAGCAGCTGGGTCCAAGTGGTAAATAGGAGATATAGTAGTTCCTGGGGTCCTCATCATACAAGGGCCCTTGCCGCGCAGAAGGTACGGCTGGTAGTAGGGTCTCGGTGGTGAGTCTGGTGGGTAAGGGGAGTAGGTTCCTCTTCGGAGAGGTCTCCCTCATCCTCTACAGGACCATCATCATCAGTCTCTTGGGCATCCTGAAATATGCCCTCATTCTCGAGCTCCTCCTCATCGGGATCCTCCTCAGGATCCTCTTCGGGATCCTCCTCAAGACCGTCATGGGGAAAGTACGGATCCCCCGCTAAGTGTAGTGGATGTGGATGCAAAGGAACTCCAAATGGCTCATCAGGATCCTCAAGTCGAAACCAGTCATCAGGGTTATCTGGTAGTCCAGCCATCTACATAGAAGGGTTTCAAGCGGTTTAGTAAATTTGTATAAGTTTTTATTTTATTTTTATTATTATTATTTTTTTTTTATAAGAGTTTTAAGGTTGATAAAAGGAGTCTAAGGTATTAAGCTTCAGCAACGAATCTGATGGATATTCTTCAACTTCTAAAACTCTCAACCGTTGTAGCTTGTCAAACTCCTTGCTCAAGGTTGGTTGTGCACCGGCCCGACCATAAATAACATAGGCGCGCGTTCCAGGTTTATTTGTGGTATGGCTTATGTACGATACTAACCTTTAATTGAGGCGTTTGACCTAAAGGGTTGAGTTGGTAGTTTTAGTTGAAGGGATGTTTAGAATTTTTATTAAGTGTTCTCATCGTGGGTCAGGGTATATATATCAACTCTTACATATTAAGGTTGGTGGGGTTTGTAGTATTATTAATCTTTGTTTTGTACTTCCCAACTACCATACCGTAAGTAGTCGGGAAGTAGTTTTATTATTGATAATACTTTTATAAGAAGCTAGTTGCTATAGTTGTATTCCTCTTTCGAGGATACGAGTTCTCTATAGCCAATTTAGCTCTGATACCAATCTGTCACACCCCCGGCCGAGGCGGCGGAACATGCCGGGCTGTGCGACTAAGTTCATGGATCACAGATAAATTGAATATACAGCACAAGTACAACAATAAACAAAACAACATTTCATTACATGTTTATGTTTTCATACATGGTTCTTACAGATAGTAATAAAATAATAATACGAGTTTGCCTTAACAGTGAGGCATAACAGTTCAAAAGTAGAAAATTAAAGTACTTGCGAGCCATGTTTTCCATCGTCTGAGTGTGCCCGAAATTTCACTGATTTCCTGAGAATACATGTATTTTGAAAGTCAACACGAGGTTGGTGAGAGTCACAGGTTTTCTGCTAGCCGCAGTAATAATACTTTTATAAGAGTCCAAGAGTATATTTTTCTTGTATCATGATAGTTGAAACAATGCTTGTCATGAGTCTTTAAAAGCTAAAAAGTAATTTTATAAATAAAATTATGCTTTTAAAGAAAATGTGTTTGTAATAACTTCATGAAAGTTTAAATATATCAATTGTATAAGTAACCACTGTACTTTAAAACAGTTCTAAAAGCAACCAAACATATGGTTGTAGTGAAAAAGTGAGAGAGATTCGTGTTAATGTTTTTAGTGAGTTCTATAATCGAGCTATAGACGAAAGGTACCCCTCCCTACGATGCTTCATTGGACATCGTAGTATCGATCGTAGACACATATCACCTGTTTCGATTGATCAGTCGATGGTTGTAGCTAGCAACCGCAGGTGGGGTTGTCAACCCTATATAGATCTATATATATGTAACTCGCTCCGAAGATTAACGATTATAGCAGTGTGGGGCAGGCTAAGTGATTAAACTCAGCTAATGAATAGTAGCGTCTCACTCAAAAACCATTAACGCAAAGTTTGTGAATAACTCTCACCCTAGCTTAATTATGGATAAGTACCGGGCACAATGAAACTCGTAGTATAGTATTTGTAAAGTCGAGTATGGTTGACGTATTTATAAAAGTATAAATTACTCGCTTTTATAGAGATATGTATTTTAACATAACGATCTTGTATAAGTGTGTAAAGTCTTATGCATGATGGAAGTATTTATAACTTAAATTTGTAGCATGCATATCATATAAGACTTATATATTTGTATCATAAATAATATATAGCACATGTATTCTCCCCCAAAACAAATAAATACAAAAAGAGGGGCCGTAACTCTCACCTTATCGAGTGGTTAAAGAGTAGTTCTGAATGTCGAGATGCGTTGCCGAGAGGTCGTGATTTCCGGGATAAATCCAATTTCCTAGAAATATTTGTTATAAATCAATATTTGGTAGATATTGGGTATTTGAACTAGTATAATGGTTTAGAATTTTTCTAAATGTTTATTATCTCAAAATTCATTTAAATAAAAAAATTTTTTTTCTAAAAATTTAGTTTATTATTTTCCTAAAATATTTAACTCCCAAAAATTTATTTAAATCAAAATACAATTTTTATAATTTAAGATTTAATAACAATCAAATATAAAAATGTATATATATGTAAAAAAAAATGAATTTATGAAATTTCTATTTTAATATTTTCAACTTCTATTGAAAGGATTTTTCAAAATTTGGGTAGATTGTGAATATTTCAAATGTATGTTTAGGACTTAGGACCTAGTTTAAAAACAGTTTTTGGGAGTAAGGGGTTGAATCTAGACAATATCATACTTGGGGGACTGCATGTGGCAAAACCGCATGCATGTTTGTGTATCTGATTGATAAACAGGAGGGAAACCTCCTGTTCGTCTTCTTTGTTTTCGTGATACACCGAGGCACAACCAGAATATATACAGTGGTCCTTGATTTGTTTAACTTAATGAGAACAAAAGACAAATAAATTGGAGGGTGGCGATGACTCACAGAAGTGGAGCAGCAGCAGAAACCGGCGGTGCTGGTGGTGGCCGTGAGTGACGAGAGGTTGACGGAGGTGATAGTTCGGTGCTGTTGGCTTCGTTCTTTTTTCTTTTACCAGTATTTCGATGCAACAATTGTGGAGAAGCTTTTGGGGATCGAAATTAATAGCAATGACAGCTTAGGGATGAAGTTCTTGGGTGGTGGAAGTGGGTGTTTGAAGGTTGCAATGGGTGGTGGGTGATTGCTGGCAGGAGGGTGATTCAGTGGTGGCAGGAGGCTACTCCGGTGGCCTTTTGATGCTTCTTTCTTGCTTATTTTAACAGGGAAGACCAGAAAGGAGGAGGTGATCCATGGTGGTGATGTTGTAACTGTGAGAGAGAGAATTGAGAGGGAAGAAGAAGCTGATGAATTGTGTGATTTTGGAGGCTGCTTATGCATGTATTTATACTAAAAATGCATACTCACATATAAAGAGGCCATACTCCTACACCTATCTCTTGTACTATGTTGGTGAAACTTGTACACAAAGAAGGAGAGGTGGAAGGAGAGCACGTGGGTTATACCAGCTGGAAGAGATCAGGTTTTTGGAGTCCATCACATGTGGGCCCCACATGGAGTTATACCTCTATTTCATGTCCAAAACATGCGAAAACCGGGTGCCTCGGGATTCGTGCATCAAATATTTTTTTCGAAAGGACTTTTAGATAGAGTATAATTCAAGGATTTCAGAACATCAAACAAATTAATTTTTGGAGTTACGGATCTCCGGGAAATTGCGTTTGAAGTTTTGCGTCTTAACGGTTGGCGGTGTCCGTTTTCGCGACTTTCATAAATATTTTCGTAAGAATTATTTTGAGTGTGAAATTAAATAATATTCTATATCCTGAGTCCAAAAACGCTCTCAAAAATCCCATCGGCAAAGCGTAAGTGCCTCAACGGAACGTTTTTGTTTACGCGATTAAAGAATAAAAGTGTTTTACTGTCCGTTTTTCTTAAAGCGGTTATATCTTTTGCATACAAACTCCGTTTTGGACGTTCTTTATATTTTTGGAAATGGGGGAACATGTACTATCATATTTTTGTGTTTATTTTGCTCAAAAATGAAAAAATGTTAAATTTCAATTTTCAGACGCATTAGTCAGCGCTGCAGTTGAGCGGTTTGATTGGGTTACCAGTTTACACGTTTGGGCATAAAAATATCATCAAATATTATATAATAATTGAAATTAACTCATTTATATTTCCTTAGATGCAGTTAAAGCTGAATGAATTAATTACAAATAGATTTGTCGTAGTTTAGTCGTTTGAAGTCTATGCCCTAAATTCCGGGATGTCACATAGGAGCATGGGACAAGTGTAATAATTCAAGTAAGAAGTTGATTACCAGAAACGACAAATAATGAGTAATCGATATGATGATAAATAAAACGTGTTTTGCTTATACTCAAAGGTTTGAGGCCATATGGGATTAGTATTATTTTTGTGTTTCACCTTGCATGTTTTGACTTCCAGAATAATTGAGTTTATTAAGAATAATCGAATTATTCAAACGGGCCACAGTCGTTCATATGTTGGAAGTAGATATGAATGAAGATTGTCGTGAATTGGTGTGTGGATTGTCTATAAGAGTATTAGACATAAGCAAATGTTTGCTGCAACATTCATGAGTGCTTATGAATATGATTTGAGCATTGGATTAAACCCACGCTCACTTGGATCACTATCTCGAGTGATTAGTGAGACGATAACATCTTATATTCTTGAAACCGAGATGTGTGAGTTGTATCTTGCTAATCGGTTGCACATTGATAATATGTAAACGCACTAGTAACTTGGTGTTATAAAACATATTGTTGTGTGTGATTTGGTTAGTGAGTGCAAGCGAGCATTGTATCAAAGTTTATCCGTTCCTTTTATCCAAAGTAGGATAAAAGCAATATCTTTGGGCCCCTCGATGGTTTAGTGATGACAAACGTAAATGCTCGGCCGGGCTAGGGCTAATTTGATTTGTTCAATTAGTCTGTCGTCATAAATCGGAAATCGAGATATAGTACAAAGAGAATGATTAGAAATCATATCTCATACGATATCTAGAATGGAGGAATATACGATCCCTTATCTAAGGACACGCGTATCTGATATGATCAGAGTTGACAGCGGCTTTGGAAAGCTACGATTGCAGATCAGGATCTGAAGTCATACGCAGAATAGTTATTAGACTTATCCAAGTGGGAGACTGTTGGATTAGTGTCTAAGTCCATAACTATTTTGGTATGTACTTGACCCGATGGTGCATGGTCCTTTTGGGTTGCCTTCACCAAAGCAACTTGATTGGAGAAATGAATAAAGAGAGAAAGGATAATATGATTTATTAATATGTTATAGGAATAATATATTAAAGGAGAAATCATATTTGTTTAATTAATATTGGTCAATAATTAATTAAGAATTAGTTTTGTGATCAAATGTAATTAATTAAACTAGAGGGGCTGATTTGTAATTATGTGATAGTTACAAAATAAGGTAAGGATTATCTTATTTATATGGTGGACGAATTTAAGGTTGGAAAGCCTTAGAATTCGAGTATGATAAGGATTCAAGGATTATCTTATTGGTTGCTTAATGGATAATCAACTAGATAAGGATAATGACTGAAACCCTATCTCTACACCTATATAAACACCCCTAGGGTCATGAATTCGTGTATCCCTTCCCAAGAGGTCCTAGATACGAATTCTAACCTCTCACCTCTCTCTTTATACCTTCTCCATTTGCTTATGGTGTTTGTAAGCCATTGGAGGAGTGACACTTGTGACTCTAAGCCTTCCAAAGTCAATACAAGGAGATTTGGGATTGTTATTGCTACATAACAATCAAGGTAACATTATAAACTCATTCTTATGTTAATATGATTATTTGAATGCTAGAATTAGGGTTTATAGTCTTGGATTCAAAGCATGTACAATAGAGAAACCTAGATCCAAGCATTAGGGTTTGTATGAGCACATAGGATGTCTTATGACCAAAACCCATCAGAAGCAAGCAGCATTCGGACAAGGAAAAACGACTTCAAACAATTCCGCTCTCATAGAGAGGAACTGAACTAGCACACCGTGTTAGCTTATACTACCAGGCAAACCCTAGCAGGCTACCCTACCGCTGTCTACACTATACAAGCATGCAATTCACATATAGATGGAACACATAAGGCAGGCACATAAGGCATCATTCCTAGATCCTTAGCCCTATTCTAGCATGCTGTTCTACAAAAGCAGATAAACAAAACATAAAATGGTATGGGTACTTTGGGGAGTACTTACTTGAGCTCGGCCGGTCGCGCACATCACACACACTTTTGTTCTATCTTAAACTCTTTTCTCGTTGTTCGAAATCATTTTCTAAAAAAAGTTCTTTAAATCCCTAGATTTGAGTTCAGACACCCCCGAAGGTGAGTCCGAATCCCTCAAACCCGGGCTCTGATACCAACTTGTAACGACCCAATTTTCACATCAAAATTTTTTTGTTTAAAAACGTTACTTTAGAAAATATTAATAACTAAAACATCATTCGATCATCCATAATATAAACTGAACCATGTCTGAAAACCAAAACATACAACTAATCAGAATATCAGAGTATCAATCCCAGAAAAGCTCGTAAATGCGGAAACCGAAGAGTGTGTGTGTGTGTGACATGCTGCTACCGCGCCGGCTCCTTTCCCCTAGCTGAGGAGGTACCTGAAACCAAAACTGAAACCGTAAGCACAAAGCTTAGTGAGCTCCCCCATAATACCCCATACCATGCAAGCATTTAACAAACAACATGCAATTAGGAGATACGGGCCACGCCCACACTCGTGAAGATACGGGCCCCGCCCACACTTCGCTTTCTGAGAGATACGGGCCCCACCCACACTCGTGAAGATACGGGCCCCGCCCACACTTCGCTATCTGGGAGATACGGGCCTAGCCCACACTCCATTCTCAGAGAGATACGGGCCTCGCCCACACTCAACCGCCAACTCATATCATACAAGTATCACACAGACAACAAGTGTAAACAATTCTATCATACTGGCATATATCATAATCAACTCAACTAAGAGATACGGGCTCGGCCCACACTCTAATACTAACGTCTCGTCTATACGGGCCGGCCTTGGTGCCTTAGACCCGTTACTACTGGAAGGAAACTCACCTCGAAATAGCTGCTGGTCTGTGTGGGAATTGATCACCTACTACTGCTGCTGCTGCTCCGGAAACTCCCCGGCTGTAATTCCCACAATATACTTAATCATACACTGCTAACTGTCCTTTGGGTAAAAAGACCATTTTTCCCCTGGTCTAGCCCTAAGTCAATTCGAAGTCAACTTTTAGTTGACCCGACTCGCCGAGTGGATCTCCACTCGCCGAGTCCCTATCCAGACAATTGTCCTGGGTCCCTGATTCTACTCGTCGAGTTGGGCTATGACTCGACGAGTTCATCTTCTAAACTGACATTCAACTCCTTCATCCTACTCGCCGAGTTGTATGAACAACTCGTCGAGTTCATCTTCATCCGAAGAACACATATGCTAAGACTCGCCGAGTTGTATGAACAACTCGCCGAGTCTGTTCTTGATCTATGAAGATTGCCTTGGACTCGCCGAGTCCTAACATGGGTGAGTTCAGCTCCCAACTCACCGAGTCACCCCCTGTGACTCACGGCTCAACTCGACACATCATGAAAGGACCAAATCGGTGACTCGCGACCAGACTCGCCGAGTCACCTATACGACTCGCCGAGTCGCCGCCATGCATCCACCAAATACACCGATTTGCTCGATTTCAGTCCATGCCATTCATAGATCTGGACTTCTAGGACACAAATCACACGTAAAGTTTCCAACTTTACGTGTGGATATTCACCAATATGGATTTTAGGGCTCAAAATGCCTTAAAAGGGTAGATCTAGGGCTAACAAGCAACATGGGGCCATAAAGCTAACAGATCTGAGCTCCTGGATCTCAATCTTGCCTAGATCCAGAGGCCAAACGTCTTAATACGACATATAAGGCACATACGAGCTTGGGGACTTGACCAAGAAAGACCCAAATGAAAGTTTTAAGCATAGAATCATGGGGAAAACGGGTTATACCTCAAAGGAACTGCTGGAAGAACACAATAGTTGCTTGGTTGGCTTTCCTTATTCTGGATCTACTTCTTTCCTCCTTCAAAACCTTCAAAAACACCCACAAAAGTCTCAAACTCTCAAGGAATGGCTTAGGACGAGGTATACAGGGCTCTAAGGGTGAATGGGGGCTGGCTTGGGGCAGTTAAGTCGTTTAAATAGGGTGCAAACCCCTGAAACTTAGGGTTTCATCCAACAGCGGCGACTCGCCGAGTCTAGGATACGGACTCGCCGAGTCGCCAACTTAAAACGTGACTTGGATCGCGTCT